GAATTAAAGGTTTCAGTTCGACATAACAACCACCTGAAGATGGTCGGAGCGTACAACGGCTGAAACGTTGTAATAAATATGGCAACAAAGATGAGGACAATAGTCCGAAGGATGTAAATAATGTACATAATACCTCATCTCAGAAATTCATACACAGAAGTCATCAGGGACACATGGCACAATGGATAAAGGCGTTAGTTAGATCCAGTGACAGGACCCAAAGAGTGTGAGTTCATTACCCTGTTATGGCAATGTAGAACTTTCAGAGGGAAATTAACAGGAGATAAGTGATAACAGACATCCATTAAACATGGCACGTGGAACGAGAACAGTCTACCCCAGTGAGCGAAATCCATTCCAACCACCTGAAAAAGGTCGGAGCGTACAACGGCTGAAACGACAAAGATGAGGTCAATAGTCCGAATAATGTAAATAATCTACATAATACCTCATCTCAGAAATATCGACAGACAGTTGAATTTTATCGAGCACATGTGGAAAGAAGGCTTGGAAAGTCTGATATTCATAGGGTAAACAGAGGGAAAGAAGAACAGAGGAAGGCAATACATAACATGAGTTTGAGTAAATGGGTGGCGGAATAAATTTTGGAGAAATAACAAAAAGTAGAAATATTAACAGGACAAGAAATTGTGGAGAGCCATGATCGTTTACGTCCCAAAGAAGCTGAGAAGCATAATTTGCCATCGACAAACTGGGTAGAGAATTTCTAGATAAGGAAATGTCGATAAAAACAGAATTAAGTGTTTAACTATTTTTTAATAAATCATATTATAAAACCCAGGTTTTGTGTGTGTGTGTGTGTGTGTGTGTGTGTGTGTGTGTGTGTGTGTGTGTGTGTACGTTTATATATTGGATCGGATTTCGTACATTTTTCAACTGATTTCAACAAAACTTCACAGGACTACGTAAAATTACCTTGTGGTGGTTCTGACAGCGCCAAAAATTGGAAAAACAAAATCGTTTCTGTACGAAATCAATTTGAAAACACGATTAGGAGGCATCGTTGTCGCGAGAATGAAAAGGGGACAACTCATATCGAGTTATACTTATAAAACCCAGGTTGTGTGTGTGTGTGTGTGTGTGTACGTTTATATATTGGATTGGATTTCGTACATTTTTCAACTGATTTCAACAAAACTTCACAGGACTACGTAAAATTACCTTGTGGTGGTTCTGACAGCGCCAAAAATAGGAAAAACAATTGTTTTTGCACGAAATCAATTTGAAAACACGATTAAGAGGCATCGCGAGAATGAAAGGGGGACAACTCATATCGAGTTATACTAATTATAAAACCCAGGTTGTTTGTGTGTGTGTGTGTGTTCGTTTATATATGGGATCGGATTTCCTACATTTTTTAACCGATTTCAACAAAACTTCACATTTGTGTTTGGCAGGTATTTTTTCTTATTGTCTTGCACACTTTTTTCTTTATTTTTACATTCAATCTACTCAATCTGTAGACTCATAACGATTGAAAACAATGTTTTTGTTTGAGTTTGGGTTTGACCAATTCGTAAAAAAAACAAACAAAAAACTAATTAAGACATGCGTGTCCGTCAACCTTAAACAATAATCTTTGTCAATTTTATTTTTCAGTTTTTATGATGGTCGATACTTGATCTATTTCTTACTGTTAAATCCCTGTGCAACGCCGGGATCTACTGGCAGTTGTTTATATCGTTAACTAGTTGAGTGGCGAAAAAAGCCTTTCACAACTTGGGCAGTGTCGACACAAAGAAAATAAAATTTTGAACTGCGGTTTCATATATGTATCCATTGTCCGCCATCAAAGTGACAAACCAAAGCACGAATTACGAATTGTAGATATTAAAATGCGTCAATTACAAAATTGTAAATATCTAGCAAGTGTTTTAATAGACGACGTAAAAAGCGACACCGAAATGGCAAAATGACCAAATCACTTAAGATTTTGGATATGATACGGACTAACGCAGATTTTACGTTAGATCCTAGACCCATGGAACACGAAAATCCCGAGTATGTCATGAGGGATAGACTAAATAACTTAGTACTTGCGGAACAGTAAAAGAAGTTGTACGTGTTCAGGTTCTACGAAGACATACACCAAATCACTTAATTTCTATCTATAAAAGGTAGGATGTGTGTGTGTGTGTGTGTGTGTGTGTGTGTGTAACGAATGAACGATCGCAATTTTCGACGGATTTGGACCAAAATTTACATGCACATGCTCCAAGTTAATAGAAAGGACAACACCGACTTTTCATTTCCCAACTCCCATCGATAGTGGAAATAATCGATTTTTTTCATGCTTCTACGGCAGTTTTCATGTAGTTTGCGGCCATTTTCTACTGGCCAGAGTGAGAGCCAATAGCTGGCTGCCACGAATAGGCAGGAAGATTCTATTGGCCAGCTTGAAAGCCAACAGCTGACTGACACCAATGTTAACTAGCATGCTAGTATGCAAAAAAATTGATAGCTGCATTCGCCGCAAGTGGGAAAAATTTAAATCTGCATGGCACTTTACACCAATTGGCTCATTCGCTTTCTTAAACTCAACGTTGATTCTGATTCCGCAGAACTGGGTTTGGTGTGAAAAAGCATTTGTTGTTAACATTCTTTTTTCATTCGGTTTTTCCAGTTACGAGTCCTTTTTTTAAAGCTGATCGTTTTGTGTTCTTTTTTCGTAACAGATTTAATGTTTAGTATAGAGCTTCGAAAAACTTCGCAGTGTGAAATAGGCAAGAAGTAAGGCATGTAGCAACATCAGCATTGCAAAGGGCACTCCTTTAATGGGAAGGAAGGGCAAAAATATTTTAAGTCAAGTGACAGCGATTTCTGTATGAGTCGTACGATTTTTGAATCAAGCACGGGCAACGCCGGGCCATGCTGCTAGTACATTTATATAGTTTAACTAATGTCTTTCATAAACATTATACGAATAATTTCTTTGTTGCTTTGTTACTGTCATCGATGTTTATGTGTACGTTAACAAAATATTAATGAATTTATAAATGATTTATTTATTTGTAAAGTTCAAATTATAAATTTGTTGAAAGCAGAAACGTTTCTTTTTCAGCATTCATTGACCGACCTACCAGTGCTATTCAACTTATGGCTTTTGTTCACTTCCTGTTCATTGAACTCTGATCAAATTCTACTCTCTGTTCTCATCTGTAATGATAATATTAACTTCGCGATTCATTTGGCAAACAGCTAGTATTACTGTCGTTTGGAATTTGTTTTTTGTTTTGTGGCATATCGACTCCTTATGGGTCATTTAGCAATTTTTTTACGCAAATATATCGCTGGTAATTGTTTTTTCTTACAGAAAAGTATTGCTGGTAATTTTCTTTTACTTTGAAAATATGTTGCTGGTATTTTTACTTTATTTTTTTTTTATTCTTTCATAGAGACTTGACCACACTCCGGGGTTAAATATTTTCCCGTAGCTAGGACCATAACCGGTGCTACCGTCAGGGGTCAAAGTGGACGTGGAAACCACAGCAATTAAGAGGTGGCTTCACACTTCTCAAAACGTCCCGATCAGAGACCTTGCTGCCGGATGTAGTTCATCGTCATATTCAGCAAGTTTTTTATTCATAAAATCTTTTTATGAAAATAAATTCAGTAAAATAGCTTTCTCAAGTCCAGTAACTATTATAGCTATTTTCAATAATGGCTATTTCATTCCTTGCCTTTTGATTGAGATAGTGTTAAGCTCAGTGGATTATATCATTATTCGCTCTTCTAGTTTTACGTGATATTCATTTTAGTTGTTGCAGCTGCTGCCAGTCCTCAGATGACATGGTTTCTGTTATCTGGTACACTTCTTTGCGATTCTGTAAAGCCTGATGTTATATGTTTATTTTTAAAAAAAATTGCATCACACCATACAAGGCACATGAAGGGGGTAAAACAGGCAACATTAAGACCCACTTCACACCACCATTATTTTGGAGTTTTTGAAATTATGTTACCAGGAATGAAAAAGAGGAATAATTTATAAAGCAATTTTTAAGTTTGATGAAAATTGGTTGAACGATCAACGATAAATGAGAAAGAAACTAGTGAACATCGCCATTTTTCGCTATTTACGCGGGTCTTCATTATATGAATGGACTCAATTATCAAGTTAAATCACTGTACGAAGGTTGATCAAGAGTTGATAGGGTCATTTAAAGAGGGAGACAAACATGCCTCGAAAAGTTAATATATCTATAGTAATGTTAAAAAAAAAATAATGAAGAGAAATTCATATTTTGTTTTGAGGTTTGAGGTTCTTTCATTGGATAAAATATTTGTTAAAGAAAATTTATATGATCCCTGATCAAAAAGTATTGGGACTGGTGCTATAAAAACAAAACAACATGTATCAATTCAGCATTTAATTTCGTTCAAAGTAATCCTCTTCTGAAGCCACACACTTTATCCAGTGTTGCTTACATTGATAAAAGCGTTCCTGGAACTCCTTTTTTGGGATAGTGAGCAGCTGCCTTGTATTCTCCTTGATTTCCTCGACATCTTGAAATCTTATTGTTGGCTAGAATTGAGTGAAGTTTGCATTAGATTGCTTGAAATTGAGAGAGATTTTAGTTTAAAATTAGTGTCGAAATCTATTTTTGTTGAAATCAGTTTTTTTGTTTTTCACAGTTTTCGCTAAACGCAGTGGCGTAGAAATAAAAAAAAAATGAGGTATCGTTGAGCTCGTCGTGATGTAAGTAATCTACATACCGAGGAAAAAGGTTGAATTTATAAATATTTTTGATCGGCCTTATCGATTACTGATTTTATAAATATCAAATTTTTTACGCTAAAAATATATCTCTTACATTGTACAATGTATATGCCAAATTTGGTCAAAATCAGTTGGATAGATCTCAAGTGAAAAGTTATCACACAGAAAGACAGACACGCAGACATACAGATATTCTTTCTTTTATATATATAGATTAAACACGAAAAAGAACGATACCTGGTTGATCCTGCCAGTAGTAATGCTTGTCTCAAAGCTTAAGCCATGCAAGTGTAAGTTCACGCCACGCATTAGAACGGGTGAAACCGCGAATGGCTCAGGAACCGGACCTAATCCTCGAGACCGTAATCCTCCTCGGAGGCGATGGATAACTGTGGCAATTCTAGAGCTAATACATGTGAAAAAAAGCCGCGATCGGTCGGCGCGTCGCCGTCGCCTGCGTGCCGTTACGCGCGTGGGCACACGCGTCGACCGTTACGGGTCGCGGCGCTACATATTAGACTGAGACCGATGCGCGTCATTCCGTCCTCTCGTTGCGGTTGTCGTCGTTGCCGGCGGCGTTTCGCGGCGGGGCCAAAGGGCGGCGCGCTCCGCTTTGGTGACTCTGGATAACTCACTGGTCGATCGCACTGGCTTTCACGCCTGGCGACGGGTCTCTCGAGGGTCCGCCCTATCAACTGTCGACGGTCGGTTAAGTGCCTACCATGGTTGCAACGGGTAACGGGGAATCAGGGTTCGATTCCGGAGAGGGAGCCTGAGAAACGGCTACCACATCTAAGGAAGGCAGCAGGCGCGCAAATTACCCACTCCCAGTTCGGGGAGGTAGTGACGAAAAATAACGACGCGGGACTCTGTCGAGGCCCCGCGATCGGAATGAGTACACTTTAAGTGGATAGGCTACCACGAAATGGAAAGATTATATTGAATAAACTGCTAAGTCTGGGGCTAGGAGGGTTGATTTCATTTATTTTTGATTTTGTCAGAGTGGTTGGGTGTCAATTTGAGGACAGACCAAAGGATTCTGAAACGAGTGGATGAGTCTAATGGCAATTATGAAGGTACGGTATGTCAGAAAAATCACGCTGATCGTACTGATAAGACAAGAAATCCCGCATTTGTTGTTGAGTGTTCCAGACTCAACACGGAGGCATACATCAAGTGCCCTGAGGATGTAGTGCTGCCCTTGATCAAGAGGGTAGCTGCTGGAAGACCCTAAGTCTGGCAAAACTTTACACCATGTCACACAATCAGGCGGACCCTGTGATGGCTGTCAGACAATTTCTACAATGCATCACCCCTTACATCTAGCCACCTAACACTCCCAGCCTGCAAACCCCTTGATAATTATGTGTGAAGCGCAATTAGGCGAGAGAACAAGAAAACACTTGTAACACCAAAGATGAACCCGTCCTGGGTAAGACGATAAACTACGTCCAACTGCAAGGCCTCTGATCAGGAGTTTTTGAAGAGCGTGGAACCTCATCTTAATTGCTGGTGTTCCCAGGTCCATCCTGACCCGGGATGGTAGCACCTGTTAGGGTCCAAGTTATGGGTAAATGGTTAACACAAAATTGGGGTCAAAACACTATGAAATAGGTTTAATACCAGCAATACATTCTTGTAAAAAAATTATTACCTCCAATGAATTTTTGAAGGAAAAAATTATGACCAGTAAAACATTATTACCAGCAATACATTTTTTAAAAAAACAATATTACCACCAATACATTTTAGAAAAAAAAGGTTAGTAGCAATACATTTTTGAAAAAAACATAGGCTCTCGCCTTCACTGCAATTGAAACAACGTTGGTCTTCTTAAGAACAGGAGAGGATAGGTGTTCCACTTCATGGATTCTATCTTTGTCTCTGGATCAAAATGATAAGCTCAAAATTCATCCAGAGTTAGTTAAAGGAAATCAGTTGGATCTCCATAAAAATGTCTGAACGTTGGTCTCTTTAGAACAGGAGAGGATAGGTGTTCCACTTCATGGATTCTATCTTTGTCTCTGGATCAAAATGATAAGCTCAAAATTCATCCAGAGTTAGTTAAAGGAAATCAGTTGGATCTCCATAAAAATGTCTGAACGTTGGTCTCTTTAGAACAGGAGAGGATAGGTGTTCCACTTCATGGATTGTGTCTTTGTCTCTGGATCAAAATGATAAGCTCAAAATTCATCCAGAGTTAGTTAAAGGAAATCAGTTGGATCTCCATAAAAATGTCTGAACGTTGGTCTCTTTTAGAACAGGAGAGGGTAGGTGTTCCACTTCATGGATTGTATCTTTGTCTCTGGATCAAAATGATAAGCTCAAAAGCAAATTCATCCAGAGTTAGTTAAAGGAAATCAGTTGGATCTCCATAAAATGTCTGAACGTTGGTCTCTTTAGAACAGGAGAGGATAGGTGTTCCACTTCATGGATTCTATCTTTGTCTCTGGATCAAAATGATAAGCTCAAAAAATGGTTGAACGTTCATCCAGGAGTTAGTTAAAGGAAATTCAGTTGGATCTCCATAAAAATGTCTGAACGTTGGTCTCTTTAGAACAGGAGAGGATAGGTGTTCCACTTCATGGATTGTGTCTTTGTCTCTGGATCAAAATGATAAGCTCAAAATTCATCCAGAGTTAGTTAAAGGAAATCAGTTGGATCTCCATAAAAATGTCTGAACGTTGGTCTCTTTTAGAACATAGGTGTTCCACTTCATGGATTCTATCTTTGTCTCTGGATCAAAATGATAAGCTCAAAATTCATCCAGAGTTAGTTAAAGAAATCAGTTGGATCTCCATAAAAATGTCTGAACGTTGGTCTCTTTAGAACAGGAGAGGATAGGTGTTCCACTTCATGGATTGTCTCTGGATCAAAATGATAAGCTCAAAATTCATCCAGAGTTAGTTAAAGGAAATCAGTTGGATCTCCATAAAAATGTCTGAACGTTGGTCTCTTTAGAACAGGAGATAGGTGGATTCTATCTTTGTCTCTGGATCAAAATGATAAGCTCAAAATTCATCCAGAGTTAGTTAAAGGAAATCAGTTGGATCTCCATAAAAATGTCTGAACGTTGGTCTCTTTAGAACAGGAGAGGATAGGTGTTCCACTTCATGGATTCTATCTTTGTCTCTGGATCAAAATGATAAGCTCAAAATTCATCCAGAGTTAGTTAAAGGAAATCAGTTGGATCTCCATAAAAATGTCTGAACGTTGGTCTCTTTAGAACAGGAGAGGATAGGTGTTCCACTTCATGGATTCTATCTTTGTCTCTGGATCAAAATTCAAAATTCATCCAGAGTTAGTTAAAGGAAATCAGTTGGATCTCCATAAAAATGTCTGAACGTTGGTCTCTTTAGAACAGGATAGGTGTTCCAATGGATTGTGTCTTTGTCTCTGGATCAAAATGATAAGCTCAAAATTCATCCAGAGTTAGTTAAAGGAAATCAGTTGGATCTCCATAAAAATGTCTGAACGTTGGTCTCTTTAGAACAGGAGAGGATAGGTGTTCCACTTCATGGATTCTATCTTTGTCTCTGGATCAAAATGATGAGATCAAAATTCATCCAGAAAGTTAAAAGGAAATCAGTTGGATCTCCATAAAATGTCTGAACGTTGGTCTCTTTAGAACAGGAGAGGATAGGTGTTCCAGGATTGTGTCATTGTCTCTGGATCAAAATGATGAGAAAAATTCATCAGTTGGATCTCCATAAAAATGTCTGAACGTTGGTCTCTTTAGAACAGGAGAGGATAGGTGTTCCACTTCATGGATTCTATCTTTGTCTCTGGATCAAAATGATGAGCTCAAAATTCATCCAGAGTTAGTTAAAGGAAATCAGTTGGATCTCCATAAAAATGTCTGAACGTTGGTCTCTTTAGAACAGGAACCACTTCATGGATTCTATCTTTGTCTCTGGATCAAAATGATAAGGAGTTAGTTTGGATCTCCATAAAATGTCTGAACGTTGGTCTCTTTTAGAACAGGAGAGGATGGTGTTCCATTCATGGATTCTATCTTTGTCTCTGGATCAAAATGATGAGATCAAAATTCATCCAGAGTTAGTTAAAGGAAATCAGTTGGATCTCCATAAAAATGTCTGAACGTTGGTCTCTTTAGAACAGGAGAGGATAGGTGTTCCACTTCATGGATTCTATCTTTGTCTCTGGATCAAAATGATAAGCTCAAAATTCATCCAGAGTTAGTTAAAGGAAATCAGTTGGATCTCCATAAAATGTCTGAACGTTGGTCTCTTTAGAACAGGAGAGTATAGGTGTTCCACTTCATGGATTCTATCTTTGTCTCTGGATCAAAATGATAAGCTCAAAATTCATCCAGAGTTAGTTAAAGGAAATCAGTTGGATCTCCATAAAAATGTCTGAACGTTGGTCTCTTTAGAACAGGAGAGGATAGGTGTTCCACTTCATGGATTCTATCTTTGTCTCTGGATCAAAATGATAAGCTCAAAATTCATCCAGAGTTAGTTAAAGGAAATCAGTTGGATCTCCATAAAATGTCTGAACGTTGGTCTCTTTAGAACAGGAGAGGATAGGTGTTCCACTTCATGGATTGTGTCTTTGTCTCTGGATCAAAATGATAAGCTCAAAATTCATCCAGAGTTAGTTAAAGGAAATCAGTTGGATCTCCATAAAAATGTCTGAACGTTGGTCTCTTTAGAACAGGAGAGGATAGGTGTTCCACTTCATGGATTGTGTCTTTGTCTCTGGATCAAAATGATGAGCTCAAAACTCATCCAGAGTTAGTTAAAGGAAATCAGTTGGATCTTCATAAAAATGACAGAACTTTGATCTTCTTTAAAACAGGAGAGGTTGGGTGTTCCACTTCATGGGTTGTGTCGTTGTCTCTGGATCAAAATGATGAGCTCAAAATTCATCCTGAGTTAGTTAAAGGAAATCAGTTGGATCTCCATAAAAATGTCAGATTTTCCTGTGCTGTGATCAGCCCAGTGCACATTTGATCAGAAGGCGTGGTACCCGTTAAGCATAAACCTTCGTCATGACAAGTTCATTGTGCAGAATATTTTCAACTCTCTCACGGGATATTCTGATAGATATTGGCTTTGAGTGATTTATAGTTGTCTTCCATTCATCAAGATATACTGGACACGATCAATGTTTTACTCTGTGATATCAGATGCAGGATGTCCAGAACTTGGGTAATTTTCAAGACTCTCCCTTCCTCTCCTTAATTCAGCTTCTCACTCTTAGATAAAGCTGGGTTTCATCACTTAATATAGTAACAATGTCAGCATGAATGTTCTTGGGATCTATCCAATTTTTAGTAGGTACTTGATAACGCTATGACGCCAGATTTTTATTTCAGAGAGAGTTTGCTACCTGTTAAATTTGAAGTTTTTGAACAGTCAGATGCCAGTTTACATGAGAATATATATATATATATATGAACTTTATTTCAATCCTTCATGAGCTTCTGATCCTTAGCTATGATTAATTAATGATGAACATGTCATTTTCGTTTATGATCAATTTCATCAAGATTCTTCTGCTAAGCTCTGAGAGAAATTATATATTCTTATTGCTCAATGTAAAGTCCATTAGTATGATAAAATCATCGGATAATTCCAGTAAGATACCTTTAATCATTTCTATGATACAACGGTTCAAAGCTTAATCTAAGAAATGAATAATTTCGCTGTTACACCGGGTATATATTCACAGTAAGTGTTGCCTTAATTCCTAGCTTCAGATCAATACTTTTATTCTAGATGTTCAACGCATTCTTCAAATGATTAATGAAACATCATTGTATAAGGAATTTAGATAGTGCATATAAAAATTAATTCCTGTCGGTAATGCATGCATTTGTCCCTGGCTAGTGAAGATGTCCTTTTTTCACTTTGGAAAACATTAGCATAATTCGAGTATCACTGGCTGATCAGTTGATGACTGATTGATGTTTCCTTGTAAGGAAATGGCTAATATTGCCTTTATAGTTTGAGAGGAGGACAAATTCTATAGTCCGATCCCATTTCAACGTCCAATGAGCGTAACTCGAATAGTGCCGGTTCTTCGTTTACTGAATACTGAAAGTTCCCTTATTAGGAAGCAACTAATACCATAATTGTTAAAGATGAAGAGAAAACATACTGCACGTTGACCACGGCTAGATGGTGAGACACGTTTAGGGAGTGGCGTACTTGTGTCGTTACAAAAGGTGATTATCTCCCTTTGGTCGAGATAGAGACACGTGGCTCCCGTAATAATAACACAAGTACTATAGCGCTATAGTATCGTAACTGGCAGTCAATTTCAGTCGGTTTGCAGAAGACAAAACGAGTGGTGTTTTTTTGTTTTTTTTTAGCGAAGGCCAAGGAACTACGCTGAGATAAAATCTGCCTCCTCTTGCAAATGGCGCAATTTCCCTTCGAGAATATGCCATTTATAGATATTGAAAGAAACAATTTTTGGCTTATAATCCTCAGTTTAGAAAAATCCCAATACACATCATTTCGTTTTGGGACGTAGATGAATCCATCCATTTTGTATCTGGAGTCCGAAACACGGCTTTTCCATAAACACAGATGAGTCTCCATATTATATGTAGGACACTATCTTTTCATTCTACTTCATTCTGCTTGATGTGTGGATATATATTATATTTTATCTCTTTGGAATATATATATATATATATATATATATATATATATATATATATATATATATATAGTTATTTTTTTATATGACTTAGTGGGATAAAAGTCTCTCTGAGAACAAATGTTTTTGATTACTTTTCCTTTCAGCCATTTCGTTAGCGTCCATGAACTACGATGTTATTATGTCACGGATATAATAATGCACATAATGGGAGAATATCAATGGGAGAATAAACATTTCTTCCACAGCTCTCTTCTTATACTATTATCTTAAGAGGTCAGGAGAAACATACAACACTTTGACCCCGTCCAAGGAAGTAAAGAAAAGCGTAACTCGAGAAGCACTAGCTCTTCAGTTAATGAATGCCAACAGTTTCCATATAAGGAAATAGGTGATATTCTCGTTACCATTTCAGATGGGAACAGAGACTACTGTTTGATCCCAGCCCGACGTATCAATATTTTTATTAAGAATTGAAAGAGATGTACCTGCATTAATTCCAATCACTGGCCACCCATTTCTTTTTTGTTTTTCAAAGCATTGCTGTTAGAATAGGGTAATTATATGTATAATATAAATAGATAACTAATGATTTTACAATAAGAATGCACAGAAAATGAATAAAACATGATTGCCAGGGGTCAGGAATTTAGGCAACGATGATGAACCGATCAATGAAATTATATTATGGAATCGTCCATACTTGCCTGTCACGCAATACGGGGAGATGTAGTCTTCCCCAAATTAACCTTTAACCAATCATCATTTCACTTTTCCAAACTCAACTTCCCATTGGTTAAAAGGACACAAAAATGTAGCAAGTTGAGACAAATCCTTTTTTCTCGAGCAGCTGTCTGGAGCCTATTTGAAAACCCCAAAATCTATTAAAAAAAAAAAAAAAAAGAATCGCTCGACTTGATTCAAGCCACTCAGACATTGAGTTTCGAGAGATTCCAGCAGGCTCCCCGCGTGCTAGCACACTGACTCAATGACACTACCAGCTTCTCATCAACTCAACACAACTCGCACTACTATTGCCGCGTGAAGAAACTTAACTTACAAGTTACTAAAAATGTGACATTATCACTACGAAATAGTAATTGTACATTTAATCAACTTTAGCATATCAGTCAAAGGCACACAACTCTTCATAACTTGAATCAACACTTAAAATTGTCACACATATAAACGCTGTTATTTTAACTCACACAAGTGACATTTTACCTTGCAGAAATCAAACTGTTTTAATTTCACAAACAACCTTAAACCATCAACATTCATTCACCAAATCTCTTCATGTACACTCTTTGCAATCTTATCTCAATTTAAATAACAAGCAACCTATCATCCCTTTGGGCATGTCAAATATATATATATATATAAATTCATTTTATTGTTGAAATCTTAACTACGTTGTTTTTCCTTGATTTCTTCAAGTTGTATTGTCTTCATATGTTCGTTTAATTTATTTGTTGTGGATAAATGCATAATGTACACGCATATTTTAAGCCTTCACACAATTTCAGCTTCCGACATATAGTACTTAGCATAAATTCTGCAACAATATGTATAACTGACATTCATGGCAAATATCACCATCTTCTGTTGCCTTAATTCTCGTTAATCGTTTATCTTTTTCACAATCTTCCTATACCCCGTCTTTTCTCTCATTTTTCCTCTCTGTAATACTCTGCATACTTGTGGCACTACCGCTTTGCTTGGGGTGAAAAGCTTAACAAAAATATTTTATTAAAGAAAAACAAGTTACATGACCTTACATTTTGGAGATGGGCAGACGCTGTGATTTATGTTTTAAATTTCGAAAGTATGAATGCTACATTTTGATTAGTTGTTAGTTTTTGGTCCAGAACCATTGAACAGTTTTCCCTCCAAATTCCGAACAACGTGATTGGATCTTCCCGTCTGATATATAAGGGGAGCCTTAAAATTTGCCTTTCGGAGTCAATAAACAGGAATCCAGATCATCTCGGTACAAAAAGAAAACGACACAGAAGAATTTTTACAACGATCAGACGATAATTGAAAGAATCCGTGTCCTCCCACCTCAAAGAAAAGTCCTCGGGTGCTGTTCTTAATTTAACTAAATATTCGCTGTCACCACAAGAAAATGAAACTGCTAATTTTCGTCATACAAAATAGTGTACCAAATAGCACATTGAAAAATATTTATAGAAGTATTTCTCTTTTTCTTCACTTTACGAAGTTTTGTTTTCCGAGAACCTTATGACGCGTAGTAATTTTAATTATAAAAAGGCATCCTTCATTTTCCTTGATAAATTACATATCATTGGCTATCACTGGGCACTCAAAACACTTTGAGTAATTCTTTTTTGTGTGTGTTAAGAATGAATTTCATCGTTGTTTTTAACCTCAGTCCGTGTCGTCTGTGTTATTTGTTGTATGCGGATAAATTGTTGTTACTTTATCCATTTGTTTGATCTGTTTTTATTTTGGGATTATTTTTTACCACAAGAATTCCCCTACGGCTTTAAAAGAAAAAAATGGTTGATAAAAAATAAAATCAATATGAATATTTCTTTTCAAGGCTTGCATTAGAAAAAGGATGAGACCTAAATGCAAAAAATTAAAAATGTAGAATATAAAAAACAAACAAATACAAAAATTTACATGTCCGGGAAATGTTCAAACACAGGACGGAATGTGCAAAACTAAAATCTGAAGACGCATTGGGATAGACAAAGATGCCTTCCAAAAGCTAAGTATAGTATTAAGAGACAGGAATACATCGTTAGAATCAAAAAAATGTTTACTGAACTCTTATGTGATGTCTGTCCTCTTGTACGTCATTGAATGCTGGACAATATGCGCAAAGATGAAAAATAGACTTGAAGCAACAGAAATGCGGTTCTACAGAAGGATGCTGAGGACATCATGGGCTGATAGAGATTTTCCAAGTGTAGCTTAGATGTGGCTCAAGGCCGAAAGCATGGGGCATCCAGTGAGTATCGAACTCACTTTTCAGTAGTAACTGATCTAGCAAGACAAGCTTGCTAACCATTACACCACTCCGAGGAACCCAATATCGTGGGCTGATATGTGAGCAACAACGTTGTTTAACAGATAATGTAAACAAAACGAAAACTTATAATTAACATCAGGAAGAGACTGTTGAGGCACATAATGGAGAAAGAGTGTTTGGAAAATTTGATACTCACAGGACAGATTTAAGAAAACAGGGAGGAGCGGTAAAGAGCAAATAAGAAAATATTCGATAGGCTTGAGGAAATGAATGGCAGAACAGAGCTTAGGAGAAATAGCAAAAAGAAATTGTGGAGGGCCATGATCACCTACATTCTGAAGGGACACCCATATAAATAAGAAGATAGTTAGAGAGCCCACCCTTCTGACGGCTGCTAAGCAAACCCCTGTTACAGACGCCCGCTCAAATCAGCTCTGGTTTATGATGCAATCCTGGTCAAGGAAGCACTTTGGAGTAATGGATAGCGGCTCTGATTGAGGAATCGGAGAGCCGAGTTCGAATTTCAGTCGAATCCATTACATTCATATTATAGAATCACATATTAGAAGATTCATACTTTGGGAAAGGTATGAATATTCTCTCCCCACGTCCAGCTATGAGTAAATAGCAGGGCAGAACAGGGTGTATAGCGTTCGGTGGCAACTGGTCTAACGCAGAAAAAAATGGCAAACTACTGCGGAAAAAAAAACTGCCTCCTCAGTCATGTATCGAAAGATATATGATCGCCTAAATGTGTATCACGCATGGCACATAACTAAACTGAAGCTGATCAGGCCTTAGTTAATTTTTGGGAGAGAGCTTAATCTGGCATGAACGATATTTTGAACAAGACTAGTAGGCTCAAAAACTCGAGTTTTATGTATAGAATATAGACTAACACGATAATTTTCAGAGCTTTCTTACATCCTTTCTTTCTTTCTTTCATCTATCTATCTATCTATGTTAATACTTATCTTAGTCTATTTATATGTATTTATCTTAGTCTGTTCATATCTATCTATCTATCTATCTATCTATTTATCTATCTATCTATGTATCTCAGTTTGTACATATCTATCTTTCTATCTCTCCCAGTCTGTTCAAATCTATCTATGTTCATACCTATCTTAGTCTATTGATATGTATCTATCTTAGTCTGTTCATATCTATCTATCTATCTATCTATCTATCTATCTATCTATCTATCTATCTATCTACGTTCATACCTATCTTAGTCTATTGATATGTATCTATAAAAGTCTGTTCATATCTATCTATTTATCTATATAGATTATATTTGTCAGTAACGTTTGTATTAGGAGATCGCAGCAACTATTAGGGAGATGTGATTAAATATGATTTATATTTTATATGAATTTATTCAGTATCATTATTGTTGAGGTGATAAGCATTATAACACAGCTCACATATCTATATTGTGAATATGTTTATGTATTTATGGTAATTTTTTAACTTTTTATCAAAAACGACATCCTTGTACATGTAGTTATGGATAATATTAGACATTAATTACTAATTATTTTAATTAATAACTATTTGAGCTCAGTTGTTGACATTAATCGCTATCTGCTGATTTGTTAAAATATTGGAATAATGCAATAATAAAAATTTAAATTTCATCTCTCTGATAGATTTGGTGATCTGTAAATATGAACTACTCAAAATGTAATTTTCTACATTTACACTGGATCCTGTATTAAAATAGTTACATCCGCTTTTTTGCTAAAAAAGACTTCAAACTTAATCAAAACAAAGTTTTATCGTCAAAATGTTTACATTATTATTAAGAGGAAAAACCAAAGTAATTTTTATTATTTTTTTTTTTATTGTTTATAATCCTTTCTATCACGTTCCAAATTTTGGTTAACATTTTTGTTTTTCTTGCGTCAGCGGTGGTCCAAAGATTATAGATATGTTAGTACTTTTTTTTCATGTAAACACAGACATTGATTTGAAAATTCTTGCAAAAATCAAATAATTGTCCGATTTTAGGGAAACTTTCAGAACATATTCACAAGTAAATAAAATTATTTAATTTTTTTTTTTTTTAGAAAATATTTTCTGTAACGTCTGTTAACCACCACATACATAATTTTATGAAATTTCGAGAAAGTAACATTTCAGAGACTTCATATTTATCTTAACAGGATTCCTTGGAGAATTTTAGTAATCATTTGGATTTTGTCGAGCAGGAACATCATTTACCAAAAGTATACTGTGAATCGTAAAATAAAATGCTATAGAACTATTACATTATTTAATTCGAATATCTTTCAATTACTTTTATAAATAAGATATATTAAGTACACTAATGCCTTAAGAAAAATAAATTCGATGAATAATGAATTTAAAAAAAAATTGTTTTCATTTTTTAATATTTTAATAAGAAAAATTTATTAACTTCTAAATCTTTTTAAATTCTGTATTAATTTCAACCATTTAAATTGTATAATTATTAAGTGAAAACTACATTTACTAATGTTAAATGATAAATCTTAATACCAATCATCGAACACTTAGACTTTAAAAAGAATTTAGATGTTTCTTTATGTACATAAACGTGCCCATGTTTTAAAGTATAGACGACCATACACGACATTATCAGAAAATAAGAGCTATGACTAGAGCAAATTTAAAGTCAGCATTCCTAAAATTAGATTACGGAGAATATTTATTTTTAAGATTACTGAGTAATTATATAAAATTGAGCTCATTTTCAAAAATTATGTTTTACAGATTAAGTCTCTGTAGAACAACAAACATCATCACTTGTCATTACTCGTCAAACACATAAACTTGGCTACTGTCGGTTTAAATAGAGGTATTGTTTGTTTTAAAGTCACATTTCTGTGTTATTTTAAAGTTAAAGTAAATAATGTTTGTCTATATTTCTGAGATGAGGTATTATGTACATTATTTACATTATTCGGACTATTGTCCTAATCTTTGTCGCCATATTTATCACAACGTTTCACTCCGGCCTTCTTCAGGTGGTTGGAATGTCGAACTGAACCCTCAAGGACACATGGCACAGTGGATAAAGCCGTTGGTTAGATCCAGTGACAAGACGCAAAGAATATGAGTTCAATACCCGGTTAAGGCAGTGGAGAACTTCCAGAGGGAAAAATTAACAGGAGATAACTGATAGCTGACATCCATCAAACATGGCACGTGGAACTAGAACAGTCTGCCCCAGGGAGTGAAATAAAGGGTTCAGTCCGACATTCCAACCACGTGAAGAAGGCCGGAGCATACAACGGCTGAAACGTTGTAATAAATATGGCGACAAAGATGAAAACAATAGTCTGGATAATGTAAATAATTTAAATAATGTTTGTTTCAAATCAGATTGCTTATATTTTAAATCGGCTAATATTCCGTAAATAAAGTTTCAGAAAGATATATTTTATTTTTGGAAGATTTTTTTTCTTAATAAAAGAAGTACATTACGATGAAAGAGGGCTAAAATGGCCGCTAATCTTGGCAAGAAAAATGAAAATCGATTCCAATCTTTATTATTTCTCTTTGGAATACACCAGAATATTTTGCTTAACCCTTAACCCTTTAGCTTTCACTTAAAGCTAAAAGATAAAAAAAAATCATTTTTAAAAATTCATTTTAAACCTTAGGTATCGCGAATTCGTGGTGGTAATAATAATGAAATTTGTGATTTTTTTTTTTTGTTTTTAAACAAATTGTATGTGGCATCAAAGGCTTAAAAGCCCACCATGGATATTACTCGTTACATAAATAACAAGATAAACGTATAATGTTAAACCACTTGTCTGTTGGAAAGTCAAGTAAATCTTAGTTATACAGAGATTTGAACCACATTCCTGCCAGTCAGTCATCAATCTTGATACATTGCTATGACTTCCCGAGTGTAATTTAATACATCGGAAGCAAATGCCAAGACAAGTAATTAATTAAAATGCCCTGGGCACATTTCATGAGACAGATTGGGTGTCGCCGGCCACTGTGGATTCCGTTTGGTATCCATTGGTGCAAGGCAGTCGAACTATAGCTCGCACTGCTGATTACAATTACGAACAATGGATTGTGAGGCCTTTGTTTATTAGTATCCGGCTAGTTTGGCACAAGGCGATAATTTCAAGAGCTTGATTTCTTTCTTTTATTTCTATCTATCTATCTATCTATCTATCTATCTATCTATCTCAGTTTGTATATATCTATCTTTCTATCTCTCCCAGTCTGTTCAAATCTATCTATCTATCTATCTATCTATCTATCTATCTATCTATCTATCTATCTATGTTTATACCTATCTTAGTCCATTGATATGTATCTATGTTAGTCTGTTCATATCTATCTATCTATCTATCTATCTATCTATCTATCTATCTATCTATCTATCTATGTTTATACCTATCTTAGTCTATTTATATGTATCTATGTTAGTCTGTTCATATCTATCTATCTATCTATCTATCTATCTATCTATCTATTGATCTATCTATCTATCTATCTATGTTTATACCTATCTTAGTCTATTTATATGTATCTATGTTAGTCTGTTCATATCTATCTATCTATCTATCTATCTATCTATGTTCATACCTATCTTAGTCTATTTATATGTATCTATCTTAGTCTGTTCATATCTATCTATCTATCTATCTATCTATCTATCTATCTATCTATCTATCTCAGTTTGTACATATCTATCTTTCTATCTCTCCCAGTCTGTCCAAATCTATCTATCTATCTATCTATCTATCTATCTATCTATCTATCTATCTATGTTCATACCTATCTTAGTCTATTTATATATATATATATATCTAGTCTAAGTCTGTTCATGTCTATCTATCTATCTATCTATCTATCTCAGTCATTTTTCAATTGTTTATTGGTATGTTACTAATTTGACACAATTGCGAGATAAGAATTATGTAATGACTTCAGGGATATTTTAAATGAAATTGGATTTCTTGCATCCTTTTGTTCTTTCTTTCTTAATTTTTCTTTCATTCTTTCTTTCTTTTATTATTTTCCCACTGAAACCAAGTATATGCCTTTTGCTTTCTACGCAAAACAACGTAATATCTGTTTATATCTTCAAGATGAGTTATTATGATTACTTACATTATTCACATTATTCAGATTCTGTTTTAAAATTTATAAGAAGAAATAAATTTGACAATTTATATTAGGGAAAGCTACTGCCTAGTGACCCGTCCACACAAAAACACGCTTTGGTGAAATCTATGCGAAATAATTTTAACTCGAAAGACCTGCGAAAATTTCACGGTGTTGCTATTTGAATTTTCTGATGAATCTTAATTTTTAAGTTAATGATTGAATAAACTCATGAAGGGTTCTCCGACAATAAAATATCAGTAGAAATTCCACGAGCGCATCTTTAAATATTTGAGCTTAACAACTTTAACAAAATATTGCATTAACAAACATAAATAGGAATGTCATCGTTCTATTAAGAAGTAAGGGGGTAGAAATGAAAAGATTTGAGATTAAGAACAATTTCCTCTCTTTCCTTATTTCTTTCTTAAGTTCTTTTTTGTTTATTAGTATGCGGCTAGTTTGGCACAAGGCAATAATTTCCAGAGCATTAACATTTTGCGAGATAAATATTGGGTAATGACTACAGGGATATTTTAAATTAAACTGGCTTTCTTCCCTCATTTCTTTCTTTTTTCTTTCTTTCTTTCATTCTTTCTTTCTTTCTTTCTTTCTTTCTATCTATCTTATCTATCTATCTATCTATCTATCTATCTATCTATCTATCTATCCCAGTCAATTCTTAATCGTTTATTGTTCTATTTTTGGCACAAGGCGATAATTTCCAGAGCATGAATATTTTGCGAGATAAACATTGGGTAATTTTAAATTAAACTGGTTTTCTTCCTTCTTTTCGTTGGTTCAGTCATTCTTTCATTCCTTCTTTCTTTTCTTTCTTTCTTTCTTTTTCTTTCTTTCTTTCTTTCTTTCTTTCTTTCTTTCTTTCTTTCTTTCTTTTCACAGCCAATCCTATTTTAGTATATGCCTAATTCTTTCGATATACTTGTCTGCTTGTCAATCTGTCACAGTGTCTCTCATATTCTCACTCTCTTGATTTTATCTCTCCCTCTCTCTCACTCTGTTTCTCTCTCCCTATATATATATATATATATATATATATATATATATATATATATATATATATATATATATATATATATCTATCTCTTGAGGAGTGGGGAGAGTGAATACTAGTGTGTCTGTCTACGAATATTCATTAATCAGTTAAATGATAAATTTTATATTTCTATTAATCCCATATATATATATATATATATTTATTCAAAAATTATAACATAAATATGTTATAAAATCACTACAAAAATACCCATTTTGTTTCAACAGTTCTGGTGTCTTATCAAGTGATGGTGTTTAATATAGAATAAAGGGTTTTAAAAAGGTTCAAATCAATCAAACATCCATCGTTAGGAGAAACGCTCTTACATAAGCTGGAATGATCAATCAAAATACAAGTATATGAGAATTCCAAAAACTTATAAATTAACCTTGGTTATAATAATTAATACTTTAATGTTAGGGTTAGACTAAAATAGAAATTATTTTAACTAATTAATGTTAGATTTTACTAAAAAATTGTAAATTGAAAATTACCATTATATATATATATATATATATATATATATATATATATATATATATATATATATGTGTGTGTGTGTGTGTAAATTATATTATATATATATATATATATATATATATATATATATTATATATTCAGTGAATATAATCACATAAATATAAATGTATATATCAGTATAATAAATAAAGTGTTCACATACATATATATATATATATATATATATATATATATATATATATATATTGATGTAAGTAAACTGTCCTTAATGCAAATAACAGAGCTAATAAGCTGATCAGTTCTCAGTATCTGACGATTGCATAGTGCATAAAACTCCGAGTCGTACTCTCTCTCTCTCTCTCTCTCTCTATATATATATATATATATATATATATATATATATATATATATATATATATATATATATTCTCAGTATCTGATGCAGATAGATATGATCCGACTAATATATATATATATATATATATTCATCTAGTCTTGGTACGATAGAGAACAATTACCATGAAAATATTTATATAAAACGCAGAGGGAGGCAACTTTACGGTGATGAGAATGTGACTGAAGCCATGATGCCAGATCAAGACAAATATTATTGTTGATTCTTCTTTGGATTTTATGAAGAATCTCCAAATATATAGCAGGGGCAATATGTGGCCGCAATATTCTAAGCATGTAAGAATGGTAGGCATAGACACGTGAGACAGACCTCCGGAAAGAAAATATTGTCTAGAGCGACACTTTGAACCAAATGTCGGAGCAGTTTCTTCAATATAGTCTATTCACTTAATTTCATCAGAAAACGCGAGCCCGAGCTGGCTGATGGAAGCCTGAAAACGGTTCTCTCAGATGATGAGAGAGAGCAGTTTGTTTTGGAGGTGTTAAAATTTAAAACTGATTTTCTCCCTTGTTAACAAAAGACAAAAAGTCGTTTTGGACATCATTCGATTGGCCTAAAGATTGTGTTTGTAGCGTGAAACAGACTATCGCCGCTGGGTGTTGACCTCAGTCTCCACTTTTATATTACCATACTGAAATTGAGCAGTTTAACCCATACATTAAAACTACATATATATATATATATATATATATATATATATATATATATATATATATATATATAATGAATATACTTATAAACCGCATAAAGTTTAGGATTTTATTAAACAAAAATCGCTTGAAGATGGAACACAGCTTGGTACTTTAATTCAATTTAATTCAAATAATTATATTGACGCTTTCGGTTCTATTTTTGAAACATGAGAACTCTTATGTAGCGTTGGAATCATATTTTTAAATAAATAATTTTATTTATGCTCTACTTTTGTATCGAGTACTATTTTTTTTTTAATAATAGCAAGAATACTAAAGAACTTTGGATTATTTACCTAACGAGTTCTTTCTTATTTTCTATATATTTTACACACACACATAAATATATATATATATATATATATATATATATATATATATATATATTTATATTGGATAGATGTGAGTTTGTGACCCTGTGTTTCACGCTTTAGCGATCGTCAGACAAACTGATTAATGTTTTTAAAAAATTGGGTTTATGTAGATTGCGTGTATTGGTGTTATTGTGGAAGTGGGGGGAATTTCGTCGTTTTGTCATTCATCGTACTAACGCAAACATCGATGTATGCAGACACATATACATACTTGGTCGTCCGTCGGGACTCATACATATATAAACATATGTCGGCAGTTTCGGCTATGACACATGTATGTATACGGGTGGTGTTATATCTATACATACGCATTTGTATGTTGAAATGTTGAAATTTAAACATTGGAAGTGTGGCGGAAATGTCTCGTTACTGTATACATGTTATATTAAGTGTTTTCGCGCTGAAAAATATTTCCTCGCATGTAAGTATATGCGTGTGGGGGGGATTTTGTGTAAAATTATGATAGGTAAAAATTATTATTATTTATATTTATTTTTAAATTTTTGAAAAAAAAAAAGAAAAAATGGGGGTTTATATGTTATATTTAAAGCTGGTTATTTGTTTGTTTTTGGTGACTTTGTATATGTAACGGGTAGAAATTTGTAATCCTTATTGGATAATTTATATGGTGATGTTTAGTTTAATATTCAATGTGCTGGGTGAGAGGGTAGTTCAATTTAATAACGGGTCTATATGATATGATGTGATAGTAATGTTTCAAGGGATTGGAGACAATGATAGTTAGCTAATAGTTGTTGTAAATTGGTAGAAATTGTAAAATGGTAGAAATGATTAGTAACGGTGGTGGGAGAATGATAAAACCATGAATGTAGTTATAGTGGTGGTAGCTTGAACTAAAAAGTGGTTGTTGGTATTTTATTTTATTTTTGTTTTATTTTGTTATATGTATTAATTTATTTTGGTATAAATCCTGATAATAGGTATTCTGTGTAAAATTATGGTAGTTGAATAATTTTTATAATAATAAAAAAATAATAATTGCTATAATTTTTAATATTTTAATTACAAAATTATTATTGTTATTATATTAAAGCTGCCTGGTAATAGGTGTTTATTCTCATGGTTACATATGGAAATTATATCTGATCATATTGTTTTAAGGTATTAAATATGCTGGGGGAGTAATAAAGATTGTAGTGGATTTATATGTTAATAGTGGGTGTGATGTGTAAGTGATGGTGCTGTGTGTAGGTGGTAATGATAATATTGTTAGTTAAAAGGTATTGTAGTAAAAGTGATTACTAATGGTGGTGTAATTATAATAAAGATAGATGCAATTATTTTGATGGTATCTTGAAATATATATATGTATATATATATATATAATTGGAATTAAGATACCATTAGTTAATGATCATTTTCATCCGCAAATTCATTTTAAATTTTGCGGTTGATTCATGGTTCATTTAGGTTTTTTTTTTTTTAAGGTTTTCTAACTTTTAGTACTTTTTGATGAAATTATCTGCTTATTCTCGGTTAATTTATTTATTGATTGATTGATCCAATATTTTTTTTTATATATTACTCCCTTATTATTTAGAATTAGGATTGACAAATGTAAAATGGTATATTTTCTTCAAATACATTTTCCTTTAAAAATTTAGTATAAAAGATTTTAAGGCTTAATTCTAATGTCATGTTATCCCTAATAATTTTGTAAAATACACATAACAATTTTCCTAACATTAAATTTTCTCCTTGTGGATGAGTATTTATTAATTAATATAAGTTTAATTGGATATATGTAGATCTGGACCCGTGGGAAAAATTAAAATGTTTTATCCTAATATAGGATTATATATAAATATATCTTAGTTGGGTATATACATGTATATACGGATATGTATGTAAGTATGCGTATGTACGCATGTATAGCTGTACCTGTATGTGTATTCATAATGTGCATGTGCACATATATATTCAAATCCTCTCTAAATCTTTAAAACATTTCTCATATATATATATATATATATATATATATATATTATATATATTACGTTCTGATATATGGATAAATTTAATATACTGATAATTCTGAATTATCTCCCTTTGATCTCAGTGGTATTATCCCCTAATAGTTTATATGAATCAGGTTTTTTTTTCATTAATTTCTGTGGATTTCCGTTTAATCAAGCTTCAGCCGTTTTACCATGAAGATGTAGGTCAGCTCATCGGATTACACTTCTCTCTCCCTGCCCATCCCTACCTCTACGGTATCAAATCTCAGATCCTTTATTGTAACTATGCCATCTTTCCCTTTCGCTCTCTCCTCTGACAATGCATACATTTTTTTCTTCCTTAATACATCTCTTTTGTTCTCTCTTTATTTCTTTACGCAGCCGACAATTCCTCTTCAACACCATAAACAGTTTGAAAAATCCCGTGAATTTAAAATTCAAAATTCGAGGGTAAAAATGATCATTTATTAATGGTTTCTTATTTCCAATTGCATGAAATAATTTATCTGTTTAATGAAAATAAACATTGAACGGTCTTTGTGAGTCAGTTTTAACATTTTATATTTAATATTTAAACTTCTATATTATATTAATGGTTCTCTTTGGATTATACCAACGGATTAATACATATATATATATATATATATATATATATATGTGTATATGTGTGTGTGTGTGTGTGTGTGTGTGTGTGTGTGTGTGTGTGTGTATATAAATATATATATATATATATATATATATATATATATATATATATATATATATAATTATTTATATATTATATGCTCAGTATCTTATTAGAAAAATAATAACCAATAAGGTTTACAAACCGAAATTTCTACCAGTTACATATACACAGTCATCAAAAACAAGCAAATAACCAGCTTTAAAATATAACAAATAACCCTTTTTTTTTAATTAAAAATAAAAATAATAGTAATTTTTACCTATCATAATTTTACACAGACCCCACCACACGTATATACGTGCATGCGAG